TATAAAATTTTAAATTCCGCTGTAAACTCTGTTCCGTACGGTATATCGAACCCAACAAAGTGTCCTTAATTCCCTAAGACACATCCTAGCCTCTTCATTCGGTTCCATATATAAAGAGGAGTTGGATGGAAATTTTCCCATCATTCTCTACATATAAGTTCAGCATACATAACTCCATCTTCAGCCCTCATAAATATATAGCCGAGTGAGAGAGTGTTAGAGCAATTTGGAGAGGAGGCTACCGCAAGCTATCGCACCGCACGGCAGTCAGGCGCACGTAAGCATCCGCACGCGTAGCAGTAGTATTCCACGGCAGTCAGCACGCGCACGACTAGTCACACAAGAACACACGCCGTATCGTAGGCCTATTACACACGCATCGCAAGCTGTCGCACGCACTACACGGTGACGCATCGTTCACGAAAGCCACACGAACACGGGAATCCGAAGTAGTGCCGTCAGTTGAGCATAATCGGAGGTAAATTCCCTGTCGTTGTAGGCTGAGATTATCACGTTTGTTAAGCTCAGTTTTCTGTTTAGGGTTCATGCGTGTTATATGTGGTAAAGGCCGTACGAGAAGCCGTGCCTAGTTATGTCATGTTCAAGTTGAAATTCTCCGAGCAATCCTCGCATGTTTAGCCTTTATATGTATCATTATGTTCAGATTAGCTAAAGTGTTTGGAGGATTATTTATGTTTTGCGGTGTTCGGCCGAGGGGATGTGGTCGCACATATAGTGCGCACCACGGGCCGTACGTGTGTTTGTCGCATGTCAAGTTCAATCCTTTAAGCACTTTGTGTTTTTAGGTTCAGTAAGTTATGTTCATGTTCAGTTCAGTATGATTTGCCGAGAAAAATAAGGTTCGGTCGTGAAAGCGGCTTAACGCCGTCGGCGGCGCACGGTGCGTCCGCCGCGGCCAAGTTTCGTTTATTGGGCAAAAATTCACGTTTCCAGTCTAATTCAATTCATATGGTCATGTTATGTCAGTTGAGATCAGAATGTTCATGAGTTGTTGCCGGACGGCCGGCAAGCGCCGACCGTGGCCGCGCTGTCTGCACACAGCGGCAGCAACGCGCCCGGCAGC